TCTGTGTAAAGGATACCACTTCCTACTGCTTGGTGTATTGGGGAATGTTAAAATAACTCCAAGAACCACCAATATTGATGTAATATAAAAGGTAATGTAAAATAATCATGCTTTGTAGTTTTGTTTCATCTTTCTTGCTTTCCTGTGTGAAGGTAGTTAGAATATTGAAGTTGTGGTTGCTGTTATGTTTCAAGTTTCCAAGTAGAATATCTCTTAAGGTTCTAAGCGCAGAAGCACTAGGATACTAAATAAGAAAAATAATAATAAACATCAAGTTTCCATGTGTGTTGTACAAAATGCCATTTCTTCATATCTCTTTTTAGAGTATTACAAAATGAACCATTTCATATATCTTGTATTTCAGTTGTGTTTATATTTATATATCTTATTAATTTTTTATTACTGCCCACTGCAGTAAGATTCTAGGCAGCTTACAAAATCCAGTATACAGTTAAAAACATAAAATGAGACAGCCTAGACCAGAAACAATAATAACAATAAAAACATGACAGGGGACCTACAAACACATTGAACCCGGAGCCTAGAGCAGAGCCAGGTTTTATTTTTTAAATAGTGAACTCGGGGGGGTGGGGTGGAGAAGTAGAAAGTGGGTGCATTCTTATTGAGAGGAAGTTGATGAACTCCAGGAGACTGGGTGGCATCTGTATCTCTGTGGGGATATTGTTCCAGAAGATGGCAGTGACAGAGAAAGTACATTTCCTTAGAAGAAGGGATCGGGAGGGGGCACCTACTCTGCCCATATGTACTGGTGGATAGAAACAATTGGAAATACATGGTTCCTCTGATAACCAGGCTCTATGCCATAAATGACTATCAGTAACAACCAACACCTTGAATTGTACCTGGAACCCCACTGGCAACCAACGCAGCTCGCATAGTGACAACAATGCATGGACCTAGTGAGAAGTGCCCATTACTGACTCTGCCACTGCATTTTGCACCAGCTGTATCTTCCGTATAGTCTGACTGTAGCCCTTATAGAGCACATTGCAGTAGTGCAATTGTAAGGTGATCAGGCCATGAGTGCCCATTTGAAAGGCTTCCTGGTTAAGAAAGCACAACTGGCACACAAGATGAATCAATGCAAAGGTCTTTTTTTTTTGCCACAGCTGTCATCTACACTTTGAGCAGTAACTGAGTATTGTACAAGAGGCCCCAAATTGTGTACCCCCAAATGAGGAAGTGCAATGCCATTCAAGTCTGGTGGTAAAAACGTCCCTGACCCACTGGGGGAGGGGAGAAAACAACCATACCTACTTAGTCTTGCAGGATTGAGCTGGAGTTTATTCCATCCATACCTGAACAGCCTCCAAACACTGAGTCAGTACAGCTTCATGTGCACGCCAAGTGTTAAGATGTACGACCTCACCCATGTAGTGTTGTGGCAGTGCCATGATTTGAATATTGAATTACATCATACCCTGAGCTGTATACAGAGGGCAGTTATTAATTGGATGGCAGACAGATTTTAATATGTTTTGCTCTGAAGATAGTGGAAAACAATTATTTCTGCTGAAGTGAGATCTGCTAGAAAGTGTCATCATCAAAAGGGAGGATGAGGTTACGGCCTGGGAATTGTAGGATGTAACAGCCATATTCTGCATTTCCTCTGTTCTCATGATTCATCCCATTTTACTTATTTTATCTGTGAAACAGCAATTTTAGGGGTTGATAGCATTTCTTTAATTTCATAATTTTGGGAGGGGGGACTGCCAAATCATAAAATTATCAGCTGACACAAATGAAAAACAGCTAAATTGTATGTATGAGGGCAATTCGGAAATAAACCTCCGTTTGGTTATCAATGACAGACACTCGCAGATACAGAACTTTTATTACACACATTAGAAAACTACAACATTACATTTCTTTTTTTGACATAATCGCCATTCAAATTGAGGCACTTGTCATAATATCTTACAAGGTTTGAAATTCCTTAGTAGTAGCCGCTCGGCGCCAAATTTGGGCTATGAGGCGAGGTGATCAAAAACATCCCAACGGAAGTGCTTCAGAAGTTCTTGGGTGCATCTAGTGGTGTGCATGCAAGCATTATCGTGAACCAACACAACGGAAGTGGTGCCATAGAAAATCCCGCCAAATGTGAAGGTGCCAAAGGAGTACGGCTGGTGAAGTTCATGGAGCGTTGGTTCGACCATCAATTGAGAAATTTACTGTGAAACGTTACGAAAACTCAAGATGAGCCATCCATAAAAAGCGTCAGGGATGCTGACTTCCAGTGTGGTGTTGGTTCACGATACTTGCCCGCATACCGCTAGACGCACCTAAGAACTTTTGAAGCAGTTCCATTGGTATGTTTTTGATCACCCCCCCAATAGCCTAAATTTGGCGCCGAGCGACTACTACTAAGGAATTTCAAACCTTGTAAGATGTTATTACAAGTGCCTCAATTTGAATGACGATTATGTCGAAAAGTAATGTAATGTTGTAGTTTCTAATGTGTATAATAAAAGTTCTGTATCTGCGAGTGTCTTGTCATTGATAACCAAACGGAGGTTTATTTCCAAATTGCCCTCGTATACACCACTTCTTTGGGTATTTATATTTGTATGAGTTTGTGTACTATATGGATATATGCTATGTATACATTGTAAGTACAAGCAATCTTAGGCAGGCAATCCTACAAGCTATGAAACTTACTTTGTCCAAAGGAATGTTCTTCCAGAAAAGTGCTTAGAATTGCAATACTCCAGAATAGGAACCCTTATGGCAAAAGGTGAATCTTGCTTTATCTTTCTCTACTTAAAGGAATATGCTACAAAGAAGTATTTGAATTCAGGCAATTGCAAAACTTGAACTCATTAAACTGAAACAACTCCTAGTATATTTCTGTGATGAAGTTTTCGTCTTGCTAGCTCCTGGAAAAGGCCTCGGGCATTTTGAAGCAAGAAAAATAGAATGCTGCTGGATTGCTTGCCAGAGATATAAAGGACTAGATAAGCCATAATAAATGTAGAGGAGATCTAGTGATGCCCAACACTATTACCGTAACTAAACCTGGCACTTTGCCATTTACTACCGTATGTTCATTTTGGGATAGAAGTAGCCTGGCTCCACCTATCTGTACCTGATAGCCTCCAGATTATAAACCACTGTACTGTAATAAATTATATTTAAAGTTGTCTTTGAAGACAATTTAAAAATTGCTGTAAATTGAAAACAGCCATGTGCTGGTTAACTGGGACTGAATTTTATTGTGCTTTGCCAAAAGTACATGCTCCAGATTATCAAGGCTCAATCCCAAGGTTAAGCCTAAAAGGCCATCGCAGCTTGGGGAAAGGATATGTGATGGAATGCTTGCTTTCATGTTTTTCAGTCAATGTATCATCTAAAATACAAAGAGTGGATGGAGAGAAAAAGACTATTTCAGATCTCCACAAATTTTCATATATTCCCTGCAAATTCAAATAGGCATCCCATTCCTTTGTAAGCCATGCACAGATCAGTGACATCTTGGCACAAAGACAACAGAAAAAGCTTTGCATGGTGACAAGATGTTTCAGTATGGTTTAAACCAGAATTTTTTTTTCATTTTCAAGAAATATTTCCCCTATTCAGGATGTGTGCAGTCCACAAAGATACTGCGTTGAATTGGGACCAACATCCTCAAACAAGTTCATTCCATACCAACCTACAGTATTAGTTAATTTAGATGCTATATTTTCCACTGTTTTATAGAACAGTTGAACAGCACAACATTATTTAAAACTTCACAGGAAAGAAGGAAGATCGTGCTGTCAACTGCAAGTGGACCACACTGAAACAGAATCCAGGGGAGAGAACGTTTCACATTTGGAATATGGCTTTCAAGTAGACCAGTGTTTCTCCAAGCTTGGCAGCTTGAAGATGTGTGGATTTCAACTCCCACAATTCCCCAGCCAGCTCTGCTGATATTTTGACATTATGGGCTGAAGATGACTAATGAATGACATGGCTCTTGGATACTTAATAAAGTCACCCTTCTGCGATATTGTGGACTAGTTAGGGTCTGTTGATGGAGCAGGAACTTTGCTTCTTTGTCCCCAGAAACTTTGAGGACATGGTGGTTACCCAGTCTGTGATTCTATTTATGATGTCATGTAATTTTTATACCCCATTATTCTTTAGCTTAAATCAGTTTAAAGTGATTATATCCTCTGGTTGCATACAAATGAATAGGCAAGATTGGCACTTATATTTTTAATCCAGTGTGATAGGCAACAAGTACAGTATGGCAGAAGTAAGGAATCCATGCATGTGGACTTTCTCATGAAGCCTGCGCAACGCTCCAAGCACACATACTACTTAACACTTGGCGCTTTGGCAAATGTGAATGTAATGTTTTGATACTGGCAGAATCAATCCTTGGCAATCCCAGTCTTCTCTTGAGCATGTGCAGAGAGCTGCCGAGTGACATTATACGGCGCAGAGCTGTACAGTGGCAATCTCTGGAAATGTTGCCCCTTGCAAGAGGAACCCGGCGTTCCTGCCGGGACACAGTCCTGCCGCATGCTTTGTCACAATCAAGAATGGCATACAGAACGGAAAAAAAAAAAACGCTTGCGATTATTCGTGATCCGTTGGGTGGAAAGCAAAAAATAGGCGTTTAGTTAATCTGGAATAAATAACGCGGGGTAGTACAAAGGGCGTGTGCGATCGTGTGTAGGCGGCGCAGGCGAAAGAAAGGGCAAACAAAGGAACAGAGGACAAAGCATTCGCGGCAGCGTCCCCAAGGGCACCAGCTCAGGTTCATGGCTTTCGGTGCAGCCCTGGACCGCATAATCTCTCTTAACCCGTCCGATAGATAATTATTTGCAAAGCTATCTTCGTTGGTTTTGCAAAACGCAGCGCGGCAGCTTCGCGAGCCGTTCTTTCCCGCTCGCCGCTCGCTCCTTTCCCCTCTGCCTCTAATCTCTCCCCTCCTTCCCTCCCTCCCTCCCCGCAGGCCCCTCCCTCCGCGCTTTCTCGTCACCGAGCTCTTTTGCTGGCACTGCCTCGTCGCGGGAGAGAAGGATTTTGTTCCTGGCGCTTGGGAGCAGAGCGGCAGCAGCTGGCAGGTCCCTGCTTCGAAGCTGCATCTCGTCTGCCTCGCCTCATTCTCGCCGCTGCCAGGATGTCAGAGAAGTCCGCCGACGAGGCTCCGGTGGAGCTCGGTGCCAAGGTGAGACGCTCAGATCGAGCAGGTGGCTACTACGCGCGGGACCTGGGAGCCCCGGGTCTTCCAAGCTCGGTCCATTCCGTAGCGATCGCGGCGCGCCAGGACTCTATCGGAAAGGCAGCTGTGGAGGAGGGGAAGAAAGACGCGCTCGCCTTGCCTCCTTTCCCGCCGCCGCCGCCGCCAGCCTCCTCCCGGGTCTGATTCTCCTGCCTGCTCCCTTCTCCCTCCCTCATCCTCCTCGCGCCCCGTGCGCGCTTCCTTTTTGTTTCCTTGGAAATGAGCAGCTCCTGGCTGGGGACTCGGGTCGAGAAAAGCTCCTCGCGCGCTGAGACGCTGGGTGGGCTTCGGTCCTTCAACCCCCGGAGCGCCCTCCTCTCGGTGGCCATTAACCCCAAGCGCCCTTGGCTGCTTATTCATTTCTTTATGTATTTATTTATTTTTACCAAAGGTCCTTTGCCTTTGGAAACTGGCGACGGCAAAGGCAGACGTCACGGTTCCGCCGAGAGAAATCGCTCTTCTTTTGAAAAGCCCCGTTAGGCAACAATGGTGAGGGGGCTTCGTCTTCAAAAACCCGCGCTCTCTTGGGCTCAGCGCTCGAAAGGTGCGCTGCTTGGAAAGGAGGAGGCCGATCCTCCCGCCGGGGTGCTTTGGAGGGCAGAGGAGGCTAAACCGCTTCGCTGTATTAGGAAGAAAGCCGTAAGGCGGAGGAGCGCAACACAAAGCCAGGGGGAAAAAAAATGGAAGGCAATTAAAGGGCGGGGGTGCGCGCGGGCTCGCGCTTGCCTGCCAGGTTGCCAGCATATGCGTCCTTCCCATCGCCGGCTCGTCTCTGGTCTCTGGAGGCATCAGATTTTAGGTATTGGCGGCTTTAGCGGTTCGACCGTTAGCAGCATACGCTCTACATCTGTTCCGGAAGCAGCAGCGGGCGTTAACTGGCGTTCAACGGAGCAGAAAATGGGTTACCGGCCTTATTGTATTCTTGTGGGGTACGGTCCCCAAAGGATAAGACAACACATCCCTCAGAAAAATCGCATGCACATCTTTCAGCTGTGGGCGTGGGGGGGGGGCGAAATAGATAATATCAGGCATCGTTTTCCCCCCCCTATCTTTTAATTTACATTCCATCAACTAGTTTATGAATAAGACCCATTTAAAATTAATTGAAAAGAGAAGTAAAAATAGCCAAATATTAGTCACAATATTAGGAACAGGAGTCTTTGTCACTAAGCACTTCCACATGGAATGAAATACAGGGGCTTTTAAGATGCAAAATCCCTCATGTGTTTATTTGGAAGTAAACTGGAATCTAATGAGACTATGCTTATTATATGCTTCCCTTGTGCCTTTACAGAAAAGGGCAGACAAATAGCAAACAGCCCTTGTGTTCCAGGGCCGAAGCTTGCTTGCACAATTTTTTTTTTAAACCAGTTGAGAAGGAAAATAATTAATTAATTGAAACAATCCTAAGGGCAGCCAGGGACATGGGGATAAAGGTTAAACATTGCAGAGGACTCAGTCTCTCTTCTGTTTTGGCTTTGCTGTGAGGAAAACCAAAGAGAACTGGAACTTGGTTGTATAATTTTCCATATAGGGTAAGGTGGTGTTTTTGTAGCCCAGAACTACATGCTTAATTCTGTGCAATAGTTTCAGAAGGGAGATGGCTTAGTGATCTTCCGTTTGTTGTACCCAATTTAACAGCGTCGTTCAGAGATGAATTGATCTGAACAATTATTTGCCATTTTATAACTGGATGATATCTAACTAGACATGTGCTTCATGTCTAGTCTTTCATCCTACACTGAGGGCCTTTAAATATTAAGGCCATTGTGCATTAAAACCTTGGACACAGACCATCCATGTGGGAATTCAAAAAGCTACTCTAAATAGCAGGATAGTGGGTACAGTGAAAAGGTAGTTGTTTTACAAAGAAAATCCAGAACTGGCCCACTATGAAGCTCCTGAATTTGGGGAAGAAGAAGATAACATGGAAGTTTCATTTGAGAACTGGATGTGTTGAATAAAGCTGTTTGGAGGGAGAGCCGCAGATTTGGATGCTGTGGGTCTGTTACCCAAATGATCAATTCAGGTGAGATTAGTATGTAACTAGGCCAGAGTAGGCTCCCCTGTGGCTGGCAGGCGTCAGAAATATTATGTCTTCAAAAACTACATAATGCCCTCTAGTGGAAAATGACAGCTCGGAACCTTTCTCATCTATAGGCTACCTTGTATCATTTTGTCCCGCCCTCTGTCTCAATTGTACACTGACACTTGTCTACACTATAACTTTAGTTGTAGTTGCATTAAAGAGAATGTGCTTTAGTGTTTAGCTGGCCCTTGAAGGAAGTGATGTAAAATTCAGGTTTTTTTTTTTAAAAAAAAGACAGATTCCCCCCCCTATAAATTCCCAATACAAAAAACGAAAAGAAATTGTACAGTATTCCTAGCACACTTTTCCTGCCTTCCATCTCTGTCTCTGTCTCTGTCTCTGTCTCTGTCTCTCTCTCTCTCTCTCTCTCTCTCTCTCTCTCTCTCTCTCTCTCTCTCTCTCTCTCTCTCTCTCTCTCTCTCTCTCTCTCTCTCTCTCTCTCTCTCTCTCTCTCTCTCTCTCTCTCTCTCTCTCTCTCTCTCTCTCTCTCTCCCAAGGAGACAGATGGCTTGGGGGTGGGATCTTCTCTTATCCTGTTAAGCACCTTTATCCTGCCTTTATTTTTTATAGATAACTCAAGGTGGCAAACATACATAATACTCCTCCCTCCTCCTATTTTCCCCACAACAACAATCCTGTAAGGTGGATTGGGGAGAGAGAGAGAGAGAGAGAGAGAGAGAGAGAGATTGGGCCAAAATCACCTAGCTAGCTTTCATGCTGAGGCAGGATTAGAACTCACAGTCCCTTGGTTTCTAGCTGATGCCTTAACCATTAGACCAAGCTGGTTCTCATTGATTCTGCCATCTTAATAAGTTTTCTTAATCATGGAAACATGTTCTTGGTTGATAGTTGCAGAGACAGTTACTGGAATGTAGCTGAGTTACATGTTTGCTAAAGTAGCACTGTGTAGCACAGAGAGGGTTTGAATTCCCATCTGCAAAGCTGCATCACAAGCATTATAGAGATACAAGAAAGCCACTTTCTGTATTGATATTGAGATTTAATGTTACTTCTAATGTACTACAACTTAGGAAGCAATTGTAAGGGTTGTACTTATTTCATGAGATGTTGTTAAAGCAGGTTGCAGATTTTAATGCATCATTAAAAACAGCAGCGTAGGAAATGGACAGAGCACAACTCTTTTGCAAGTTGTTTTCCACACAGTCCAATTAAAAGGATGATGATGGATTGGTGAATTCTGCCACATGTTTAGTGAAAGGTGCCTTTGGAGTGTATTTCTCAGGCTACAGGTAACTTATGTAACAACTACTGAATATTGACAAGCCCTCAGTTGGATTTCAATGTTTCCTGCCTTATCTGGGTTTCCTTATTTGTTACAAATGTCAAAATAACAGGCATGTGTGATTTCAGTGACATACTGTGATTTTTGTAAAAAGTACAAAGCATCTCTCCAGTGTTCTCTCCTATAATGTTCAACCCTGGCTGCTTTTGCATTTCATTAAATGATCTTTAAAAACACAATTGCTGAGATCCTGGCTGCTTTTGCATTTCATTAAATGATCTTTAAAAACACAATTGCTGAGTCATTCCTTCAGCTGCCTCACTATTTTGCAACATTTCTTATTATACCAGCCATGTTGAATGTGACATTAATGTAGATTGCATCCCCTCTTTTTAGGAGCTGAAAGAGAAGAAGGAAAAGCATGAGGAGAAGTCCGCACGCAAAGACAAGAAAGAGATTGACAAGAAAGAGATCGACAAGAAAGAGATCGACAAGAAAGAGATCGACAAGAAAGAGATCATAGAGGTAATTGGGTCTGTGTTTCATGTGGGAGCCAGAGGTGTGGGGGCATGGCAAGAATGAGGCATAAGAAAGAGCGCAATTTGAGGAACTGCATGGGGTCTGCCCACTTCTCGCTTTTTTTTTGATGGACCTTCTGATTGCTTATAATGATCATTATTGAACCAAACCTACCACGCTTGAAATGATGAAACAATAAACATAGTCTGAACTGAAAAAGTTCTTTGACCTAAAGGAGAGTGGCAATGCCAGTCATCAGCTTTATTCATCACTACTTTCCTGCAAACTGATAAGAGCTTTGGAGTTGCAAAGTAAAAGCATGCCCTTGAAAGCAGCGTGGAGGTGCAGTATCCAATCCCTCTTTTCATCAATGAAACTCTGAGAGCTTGGGAAGAGGTGGAGTACAATCTAGCCACAATAGAGGATGCTGAAAAATGGACTAAACCAAAGAATGAACAGACAAATGTTACAAAGTTTCCACTGGCTCAGACTTCAGGTATTGAAGAACTGAAGACCTGGGGTAAAGGAGAGTCCAGAGAAGGCAATAAAAAGTCACAGGGCCAGTGACGCTTCCCAAGATTTGCTTCTAGAATTCCAGTGGTAAGAAAAATTTAGGAAAGAGGAGCATAACAAATAGCATGTAGCAAAAGGGACAGCCTTGATGTTTTTCAAATGCTGGGTGAGTTTTTCATAGTTCTGTCGTTCTTTTTTTCCCCTGGTAAGTACTTTGTGGTTAACAGCTGCACAGTTGGCATACATTCCAAAATTTGTGGCTTCTTTTGGCTTAGCAAGGCGGTCATTAGGTCAGCTCTTCCGTACCTCTGTCTGTCTTTGGGAGCTGTGGAGGGAGTCCATGCAGATGGCAGAAGCACAGAGGGCAAGTGAGATTACTGTTGGCTACCATAACCACTTCTACGTCTTGGAGCTTGCTTTGAAGGGAACCAGCAAATGAGCAGAGCTGTGTAGGTATTAGGCTAAGAAGATGTAATTTAATATTTTATTCTCAGAATGGGCATGGATTGATTGCCTCCCTAGAAACTTTCTAGATTAGGTATGGTATTGGTGGATAAAGTTGCTCCCCCCTATTATAAAAATACATCCACCTTTCAGGGAAATTATTTTCTCTATGCAGAGAAGGATAAAGACTGAAGTAGAGTTTGGAGCAAAACTATAGATATGAAAGCTCTATCTGTATAATCCAAAAGTCTTGGTGACAAGATAACTTGTGCTGTCACATATTTACTTGCACTGTTCCTTATGGTCCTTTTCTCCATCGTTCTCCTGTATAGTTGACAGTAGCATCCCAAAACTTTGATTCAGCCTTTTGCATAGTAGTTCTTTTTCATCAGAGTAACCTAAAAACAAAGATGAAGTGGAGTGCACAGTAAGAAAGTTACTGTTGAGTGCCTCCATAATTACAAGTAAAGCAGGTATTAAAGACACTCAGAGGTTTTAGTCACAAAGTATTTGCTAGGAAAAAACAACTATAGACAAACGAAGAACTGACTCAGCATATGAAAGCCATAACTAGAACTTGACATGTGACTGAAAATCTTTCAAGTGATAATGTCAACACACGTAAAAGAAATACATCTATTATTATTATTATTATTATTATTATTATTAATAATAATAATAATAATAATAATAATAATAAAGTTGAAAGGGACCTTGGAGGTCATCAAGTCCAACCCCCCTGCTCAGGCAGGTAACCCTATACCATTTCGGACAAAGGCTAGGCTCTTAACCATGGATCAGTTGTTGAAATGCCTAATATAGTGTGTGGAATGGGCATGCATCCACCCTGATTCTTACTCTATCCCCATGCTAGCTCTCCAACCACTCTAGAAATGGATTTAGAATGATAGCTGTGCTTTGAAAAACAATAGACAAGAGGAGGGAAAAAGAATAGGTTCATAGCATAGTCCTGCTGACGAAACTAAGAAATTTTGGTGCTGAGAGTTGCTAGAACAGGACACTCTCAAGTTCTCAAAAGAAGAGTGAGCGATATGTGTAATAGAGTAATGGTGGCTATAGTTTCAACCTGTCTTGGGGGTAGGAGATGGAAATAAACACATATAAACACAGCCAAAGTCTGCTGGAGTTAACTTTATGAAGATAATGGATTGAACACCTATTTGGCAGGTGACAATTGTTTTATCGTGTGACTTTATGCAGGATGATGAAAATGGGGCTGAGGAAGAGGAAGATGACGAAGATGCAAATCCTGAGGATGTAGATGATGAAGATGAAGAAGACGAAGGTAAGAGCAAGTCATCCACATAGTTCATAAACTTTTGGTAAGTGAATTCCATGGGCAATTAGTTAGCATTGATTTACTCTTTATTCTAATTCCAAGATGATGAGAATGAGCGGGAACCGGATACACATGCAGTAAAACGATCTGCAGAAAAGAAGCAGGAAGAGGTGAGTAGGAACTCTGTTTAATGTGTTCAGGAATGCCTTAATGGGAATGTACAGGGAAAGTCAGCAACAAAATTGATATTAAGATAGCATCTAAGTACCCAGGGGCTGGTTCAACACTACAACAATTTATTTATCAAATTTAGACACTGCCCATCTCACTATGTAAGTGACTCTGGGCAGCTTACAGTTTCCTTTGTATAAAGGCAACAAATAGGATGATTGAATATATAAGTATGTTGAGAAGTTAGTCTTCATCTTTAGACAGGTTTGGACTAAGTGAGTCTACATTCAGAATTTCTAGGAATCATAACAAGGGTTTCATCTGAAACTGTGGGCCTGTGCATCAACTGATAACTAACAGGAAGTTGCCCACCATTTTCATAACAAATTCTTACAGAGTTATGTACCTGTTCTTAGGACTCTGTGGAAATCTTAATTCCTGAAGCCCTTTGTACAAGTATGTAGAATATAGAATGGAGTTATACAATTTCTAACATGAGGCAGGATTTTGGTGGTAGTGAGCCTTGATCTGTCCTTCAGAGTCATTCCCCAGTCTCGCTTCTTTCACAGACTTGCTGTATGGTAGTCAGTAAACAAAAAGTAACACAAATGGATCAAACTGACTGCACTCTTGGGTGTCAAGATGAAACTGATAATAATACTGCAGAATTTCATCATCATCATAATCATTATTATTGTTATTGTTATTTTAAAAAGTTAAAATATAGTGAAATATCAATCTCTTTCAAGATTGTGGCTGTTTTTCAAACATTATTGGTCCTCAGATCATAGCTTAGAATTGTAGGTGGCATCTGGAACCCAAAAGAGTTATTAATGTCAGGCAAGAAATTCAACATTATAGGCACAGATAAAGAAGATGTGTGTGTGTGTGTGTGTGTGTGTGTGTGTGTGTCTTGTGGATCCACAGCAGTGGTTATTTTACAGAAACTTCTAGGGTTCAGAGTGGGCCCACTTTCCAAATTGCTGGCTGGCCCAACCGGTGCATCAATTCTTTGACTCTCCACTCACCAATCAACTGAGTTAGAAGCACCTACATTACAACCAAAGTGTTTCTCACCAAATACATCCATCTTTTTTCTGTTTGAAGGATGAAGTTGACCCAAAAAGAAAGAAGACAGAAAATGGCTCTTCAGCTTGATCCTCTTGGCTCCATCTGCATCCTCTTCTCCACTGTCCAACTATCCGCACACCTTCGTTCCTCTGTCTGTGCAGGCAGCCTCTGTAGTGCTGTGGCTGTAGATGAGGAAGAAGAGGAGTTCAATGTGCTTTCTGTCAAGAGGAAGCTGAAGGAAGCTCTTCTCCAGCTCCCAAGATCTGTTTCCATATTACAGTGCTCTCTACAGTTTCATTACCCTTCACCCTCCATTCAGATAGCTCCAGTCTTTAGAAACATTGCTTCCTCCGATCTCTTCCCAGAACACCTTCACAATTGCTGCCTGAGATCCTCACGCCTCCTCGGCTTTCAACACCTCCTTGCAAACTCCTCCCTGCTTCTGTCCAGCACTTCACCTCCCCCCCTCCCCGTTCCTCTTGGCCCCTTCCACAACCTTGTGGAGTTTCTATGGTGCTGAAAGGGTTAAATCACATTTGGCACACAGGAAGTCCAGGGCCAGGGAAACTTGCCATGATGTGTTCCTGTGCTGTGCCTGTTCCCTTTCTATTGCAGGAAAAAGGCAAAATGTAGTGGTGGTGGTGATGGTGGTGGTGATGATGATGATAATACAGTGAAATGTGTGTTACTTAAAAAAAATTACAGTTTTTAATTAAAACATTTTGTACAAATTTAAATGACAGGCAGCAAGCTGAATCTGGTGAACTTTTTTCTTCCTGGAGGCAAAGCTTGTTTTTAATGTGTAAAGTAATATGTGATTCAGTGTGGTTTTTTTTCCCATTTTGGGTGTTTGTTATTTTTTAATTAGGGGACCAAAGTTTGATTTCTCCCTTGTTCCTGTCAGGTTCTTTGGTTGTTTTCTTTGTAAATTAAAGCAGATCCATCTGCAGTATTTTCTATGGCACAGACATTATGAGGATGAGATATATAAATATATATATTGTTTAGCACTGTAAATAAAAAAACCTTTCAAAAAGATTTCAGATAATTTTTGCTTTTTTGTGAAGCACACACATCTGCATTCAGTTCAAGTCAGATCTAGTACACAATAATTTATTTTTCTTAAACTAACTAACTTTGCTAACTTAAAAATACATTCTATTCCTAGTTGGCATTTAATCATCTCCTGTTTGTAGTTACATTTTAAAAAGTTAGGGATAAAAGTGCAGTCATAGTTTGATGATAGATTAAGATGGAAACACCCTTTAATTATTCCCATATGTGGGGGGGAAAGTCAGTTGTGGGGCTGAAAAAGCACGGTACACGTAAGAACAAAAGATGCTTATTCTGTCAGATCAAAGGCACATTAATTCCTCCATACTGATGCCTTGATGACTGATCTAGAACTTCTGAAAAGTCTACAAGTAGCAGACACATATAAGGATCTCCCAACTTCCATTGCCCAGCAAGTTGTATTGCGATTATAGCATGTAAAGCTGAAAGCTAGTAGTCACTGATAACCTTCCTTATACATTTATTCACTTTTATACATCTCCAGCTTGGTTGTTATCCCTGATTTTTAGTAACAAAATCGAGTTTGTGTATTGTGCAAAGAAAAACATTAGAAGTTTAGAATTCTGTAGGAGAGAAAGTGCATAAATCTATGATAATTCTACAGGAGCCAAAAGGTGTAAGAAAAGAGTTACACATAGTAACATGGTTTCAAAAATCTTTCGATAGGAACTATACTGGGTCTTTCTTTTGAAGTTTTTGTGATAACTTTGTTATTTAGTAAATGAGTCTTTCGGTGATCAACAATGATCTGTTATTGTAACTTAAGATATGTGATACGCTAGTGATAAAAGTAAGAAGATTTCAACCTACAGGTAGTCCTCAACTTATGACCACAATTGAGGCTCAATATTTCTGTGGTTAAGCAAGGTAATTAAGTGAATTGTGCTCCATTTTGCAACCTGTGTCCCACAGTTGTTCAGAAAATTGGTGCAGTTGTTAAGTGAATCTGGCTCCCCCCATTGACTGCTCAGCAGAAGCTGGCTGGGAAGGTTGCAAATGGTGATCACGTGATCCTGGAACAGTGCAACTGTCGAAAATACATGCCGGTTGGCAAGTGCCTGAATTTTGATCACGTGACCATGGGGATGCTGCAATGGTCGTGAGAGATTTTGGTCGTAAGTCACTTTCCCCCCAGTGCGATTGTAAATTCAAATGGTCACTAAATGAATGGTTTTAAGTTGAAGGCTACTCTGTATATGCTGCCTGTTGGCAAGCTGCCCAAGCTCCTGCAGGGATGGGGAAATTACTATTTTACTAGATTGCTGTTCTATGCAGGATTCCTGGAGTTCTAGTTAGCAGTTGGATTGACCAGTGGGAAAGTTTCTGCAGCATTGTTCTGTCCACATGTTGAATTACCAGAGATTCAACCAATGCAGTCACAAACATTTATAGGTTTGGCTGGAATCATAATGCTGGAGAGGGAAACGGAACAAGTTGTACTGAACACAGATTGTGCAGCAGATGCCGCACAGAATCTACACATTTCCTGGTTAGAACAAAGAATCACAGACTGATCCTCTAAAGAGTTGGACCACAAATGTGGGAAAGTATAAAGGGCAAGGAATAACTTTTGATGACAGGAATATTTGGGAAGATTGGCTATGGATAGGAAAAAGGGAATTCCCTGAAGGGTGGCATTAGAGTCATTGTACATGGACTGTATTTTAAATTATATGGAAGCCTCACATTCTTGTTAAGGGGTATGGTAAGATTTACAGGGGTCTGAAAACCCAGCTGGGTGGAATCTACCAGCAGATCTGAAAAAAAGCTAAGCAGACTCAGATAATTCTTTCCCTGAAATAAAATGCATGAAACTTGCTTTCTCAATTGCTTACAACATTACATTTTAAAATGCTACAACAATCATATCACAATGCAATACAGCTTCCAAATGTCAAATAAAAATAGACATGTAGAAGAGTGTAAAGATGTCTAGGGGAATAAAAAGGATTGCCTGGCCCTTAAATGGCCCTCTTGTGAGTGTAGACCAGGGGTAGGCAACCTTGGCTCTTTTATGACTCGTGGACTTCAACTCCCAGAATTCCTGAGCCAGCATGGCTGGCTTAGGAATTCTGGGAGTTGAAGTCCACGAGTCATAAAAGCCAAGGTTGCCTACCCCTGGTCTAGAGAAAGCCTTTGGAGACGTTATTGCTACAAACTGGATTATAGGTGCCATCACTGAAATCAGGAGGCCTGAGAAGAAAGACTATTCCTCTCCTTCTAAAAGGACTAGCTATGAACAGTGAGACAGCCATTTTGGTGGCCATTTTGGAGCAAAGCTCCACAGAGTCACCCAGATTCATCTGGTGCTCCAGAGAACATTCCTGTTTCTCTGCATGCATGAAGTTTCTAATATTCAAACATGACAGCTTTCCCTTAATTCTGAATTCACCGAGTTCCCCAAAGGTTGCCTTTCTCAAGCAGATCAGTATTGTAAAATGTAATTTCTACAGTCCTCTAAATCAGTTTTAGCAACTTTAAAATGGATGGACTTCAATGCCCAGAATTCCCCAGCCAGCATTCTGGGAGTTGATGTCCACACATCTTAAAAGTTGTCAAAGTTGGGAAACACGATTCTAAATGATCTTTCTTTAGTGACTATAATCAATTTGAGGAAATTGCATAGTCTGATTTGAGACACTCCATATCACAGTGCAACTTGCCCATTAGAGCAGCATACTTATCCAATTAGCAAAAGAAACTTTGCAAGACTTGTGAATCAGCTGCATTCTAATTATTATTATTCAATCCAATGTTAAAGAGAATGTCCTGATCTACTGAATTTTTGACCCTGATTCAAACATGGCTTTCCTACAATTGATTTAATGAAAGCTTTGGATATACGTACAAGTATATACAGTATATTGAATTTGGTTCTCTGTGTTCCCTCTGGTGGCCACATTTAGCATTGCTTGGCAAAAATTGCCCTTGGCAAAAATTGCCAAGGGCAATTTTTGCAAATTGCATTAATAAACTGGATTTAATTCGACTAAATGCCTGTCTCAAGAACAATCAATCAGACAACTTTTCATAAGGCATTTTGCACTTAACCAGTGACACAAATCATATATGTATAGTGCATCAATTATAAATGCATTCATGTTTTTATATAAAAGTTATTTTTATATTGCAGTGGCTAGAAAAGCCACAAATCATTTATGAATTGATTCAGTTTATATACTGTATTACTAAAAATTGTTGTTGTCATGACCTTTAACTGGTGAAATGGTGCCTCATAATGCAATAATTTTTTAACCAAAGTACCTCAAATGGACTAACTTACAGAATGAGTCCAAAATCAGGGACTTATAACTCCCAAGGGAATGAAACTTGGGAAAGTTGTAGCTGTGCTACAACTTGTGAGTTTCATTTTCAAATGACAGTTTCCCAGCCAGTCTTGCAATCCCTCACTCCTTCCCACACTCAGCAGCAGCCACTTAATTGCCTGCAGGGAAGGGAAGGGAGAAGGAAGGAAAGAAGGGAGGGAGGGAGGGAGAGGGAGATTTCCGATGCTCCCTGCTAAATTCCCACAAGGAAACCCAGTGGGGAAGCCAGTCCAAAATCACTCCTGTTCCAACTGCTTTTTTGCCCACCCTTGATCATTCTGTTTCTCTGTTGAGGTAAGGAAGTCTCTCTGAAACAACGACCCAGTGGGGCACAGGATGCCTAGTATATTAAAAAAAAATGGTTTGCAATATTCCTGTAGTCAGGAACAAGTCAAGGAGGGTCCCCTCTCTTTCTATTTTCTCTCTCTCTTATCTTTAAAATACTAGATAACCTGTTTCCTTCTTTTTTTTGGTGATACCCCAGAACTATAATGTTGCATAGAGGTCTGAAATATAAGCCCTCCATTTGAACAGGAATGAGTATTTTTCCTAAAAAATCAAAACCAAAAACTTTTAAAAGATTCTTTTAATCCTTACAACAAACTGAAAATTGAAACAGTAGTAGAGCCTTGCGATAAAGAAGGGTAAAATGATATTTTGAGAATAATCTTAATAGAAGCATGGAAGTAAAAATAGTTTGGGGTGCAAGGTAAGTTTTTATAAGGGAGTATTTTATATAATGTAACAGTGACTGTAAATAGAAAAGGCAAGAGTGATGTTATTACTTGTTAAATGGAGGACAACTATTACCCTCCAAATTAAGCTTCTATAGAGGCAATTATCTAGGTTACCAGTGAGAGAGATCGAAATAAAAATGAATTAGGCATGTCCTGTTTTTTAAAACTTAAAGGACATAGGTAAAGCAGCATGTGAGAAAACCATACCTCTGAGCATGTACTATTTTCCTCTCCTTACTTGAGGGAAACCAGTAATCAAATACAGCTGCTCTTGCTGCTGTGTAACTGAAGTGTTAATTAATAGAAGTTGGTGGAATCTGCAAATTAAGCAAACATTTTTTAGGATATGATTTTTTTTATTGTGGTGAGCAAAAGAGAACATAATACAATGGGATTGATAATTGAATCAAGTTTTGGGAAGAGAAGGTTAATCTGGGTCTACTTCCACTGTTTTCCACTGACTTCACTTTGCTATTCAGATTTTCAGAGGAGAAAAATGCCAATATAATGCACTGATGGACCGCGTCCTACCAAGGCAAAGCAAATTCTTTATAAGCTTTCCCTGCTCTGGCTGAGAATGATAGGGGCTGTAGTCCAATGCATCTTCAAACATTTTATTTATTTGTTTTGGAAAATTTATATAGCCGCCGACTCATTCATAGCATTGGTTGAAGCTTATTGTCATCCTTCCTAAGTAGACCAGATATGGCTAGATGAGATAATTCTACTTTATTGTAAGGCTATATTAACAGAATCTTGCAAGGCTCAAAGTACAAATCTCCCACTGTCTCCTTTACGGTCTGGGAAGTTTGGGGGGGGGGGGACTATCCTTAGTCTGAGAAGCTAGGGAGGGTTCTGTCCATTATGGAGCTGTAGGCTATCTCTCTCTTTTCTGTTTCCT